CAGATAACACGCACATGTTGATATAAGCATAGGCGTACGGGCCGGGGGGGCGAGGGGGGCTGCAGCCCCCCCAAATTTTGGGCACTCAGATTTTTTGGGCAGCAAGAGAAAATTTGGGCAAAGGCAGCTTTTAAATACGTTTTCATGTTTTGTCATCAGTATTTTGAAGAGATAAATATTTTCTATTTTAACCTGAAGTCGGCGTAATAATCAAGTTACATTCACACGAGACAGTGGCTGCCAAGCACGTGATGATTTTCTGTTTATAAGGGAAGGGTTTTTTTTAATCGTTGGGCACTGTGTACTACAATGGGCTATTTCCAATCGTGAATTGATTAGAATAAACTTCCGCCTAACTTTCAAGAATCATCTCCGCTTGTAGAACAGTATCAGCGATTGATCTGAAAGTGAAGAAGTGCCTGACGAATTCTCACTCTGATTTACGAGAAGAATCTTAATTTTTTTAAAAAAATCTATCAAGTGGTTCAAATTATTCACTAATTTGTTAAAGTAGACCGAAATGTTTACAAAACCGTTAACAAGAGCGCCATGATACATACTAATGAAATCCTTCTTTGTAGCAATTGACCAGAATTATCTCTAAAATAACTCGCACACATTTTTAAAACGATTGAAGCTATATATTATGAGGTGAAATTGCATGTCAAAAGCGCTTCGTTTTCTACAGATAACGGCTAAACATCAAGATTTTCCTTGTTTTACTCTATTTCTAACGATAAAAACTTTATCCCAAAATATCCCGATAACGCTCTCACAGATTCCGTTTTAACTTCACAAACATCGAGGCGACTATTGGAGGAAAAAGCTCCCGAGAACGATTTCATAGACCTAGGTAATGGCATCATTTCGTTGCTATGACAACTCCGATGTCATTGCAACCCTGATCATGACAAATTTTCATCTTTATATAATACAACTGTGGTGGCAATTTTTCCAAATGTTTGTTTATAGCAACGTATAGTTTATGCTCAAGCTTGGCAGGTATATATTGACCCTGAAAAACTGTATTGAGGCACTTTCGTATGCCAATACGGCCTATGTTGTTGCATCGTATGGCCCTTGTGTAAAAATTTGGGCAACTTGCGAGAATTTTTTGGGCAAATGGTTTACCACCCCCCCTGGCCGAAAATTGCCCGTACGCCTATGGATATAAGTCACTATAAACATAGAGATTCTGTTAGTTATGATGCACAAATGTTTGTTTTACTTGTAACACAGACCTTAATCATACTGGTGGTCGAATAGCTCGGCCTTAGAACTGACTTTCTCAGTGTAGAGGGGGGCGTAAGGGTTTGCGGTATTGCGGTATTGGGTCATTTTTGGTGCGGTGTTGCGGTAATTTTTATTTCAAAGTACGGTATTGCGGTTTTCAGAGTCCAAGCGGTTTGCGGTAAGTTTAAATTTTACGCCGCGGTAGTCGGTGAAAAAATCTTTGTGTCGCGGTGATCTGCTTCTTTTTCATGACAAGAGGATACAAATCCTAAAAGGTCTCCCTGGCTAGCCTGCGTGACCTGTGTGCACAGTCGGGGATTGTATTGCGCAAACAGTGCAGACATCGTATGGCTTCTAATTTCAGTTAATACTTGATATGATTAACGACATTAACTTTTTCATCCAATAATACGTAAACATGTCGCATTATTTATGACTTCATGGACCTTGTAGGAATAGTCAGCTTGGTTAACCTCCTTTAAACCAATCTTACCACCACTTTTGTGCCAGTCGCCAAACAATAGAGAGCGATCCAGCGGGGTCAACTAAGTGATCAGTCAGATATTCCAGGAAATAGTGAGGTCAGTGAGATCGTTATAAATTGCGTAGTGTAGAAAGATAATCTATAAAGATGGCGTGGTCTAAAAATTGCTAAACAATTGTCCTTCTCGTTGTGCATTCAGGAATTACCCTACCCTGCTTACCCTACGTAGCATAGCATCTCGGGGGTGGTGGTGGTTGTGGGGGGTACTTCCTGATAAGAGGCTAATGAGGATGTGCCGCTGGATGGGGTCGCATTTTCACGACTGGATGGACTATAATGGGGTCGCATTTTCAGAGAGTTTTTTTAGAATGGGGTCGCACATTTTCTGCTTTTTTGGGGTAAGACAGTTCCTCATATTTACGGTTAGCAAAGGTACCAGAATGTTTGTATTGTAGATGAAAAGTAAAGTGTTCTTCATTCAATCTAAAACAAGGTCAATTCATAAAAATAGAAAGTGACGAAGTTGGGATCGCGAAAATTAAATATTTGTTCAAATGACTAAGATGGGGTCTATAATTGGCCACAGAATAGACTGTAATGGGGTAGGGGCTCTGAGAGGCCAGCGGCACATACCAACCAAATATTAACCCAAGTAACCCCCACCCCGGGCATGGCAGTTTTACATGGTTTTGTCGGCAGTACCACCGTGAGCGGCGAAGCAGCTCCCGCCCCAATCTCCTCGCCCGCGCCCGCCTTATTTCGACTTATTATTTAGCGCGCCAAACCAAAACCGCCATGCTACGCAGGCTAGTGTGTACTGTGTGCCCTTCGAATCCAAAAGGTAGCCCGGGTCGTTTTGAAACCCTCAACACAGAACCGAGTTAATTGTGAATCTGAAACAACCAAGAGTCAACTGTTTTCCGTCCGTTTATGATCCAAGTCCAGTAATATATAAAGTGATACTAGAAAACTCCTGTTGTATCATTTACGTAAACGTATACATGTAATAAACAAAGCTAAACGAGTGCGATGATCTTATGTTTATCGTGCGCTTGACATCGACGCACCTTGATTTGGAAACACTGACATAAAAGTATTATTTCTATTTGAAAGGAGTGTTTGTAGTATTGACAACGTCAACTTTTTCCCATTTGTAACTGCGGTTTCGGTATTTGGCTAAATTTTGATGCGGTATTGCGGTATTCTCGCGCTACCACGTGCGGTATTGCGGTATTCGTACCCCCCTTACGCCCCCCTACATTGAATTCCAAACTGGTTTTGTGGAGTTCGGTCTGGAACTTTCGAGGCTACAAAATATTGCTTAAGTTTTATACTATGTATAATTTTGACTTTTATCATGTACATTACCCTACATGATGATGATGATGATGATAGAGTTGACATAGTAGACTGGAATGGTTATGAACCCGTGAGACTCCTTTGTTAAACGTTTTTGTGGACCGTTTAAAAGCATTTCTATCATTTTGATCAAACGTCTCATCAAATTTGTGAACAAAAAACAAAGGATTGTCGCCGTCAGGGGGCTCCCAAAATAAACTGCAGCACCGTTATGTTATCTTTGATGTTTACCGCCTTTCAAAGAAACCAATCTTTTTTACCAACTATGGTGTTGATGATGTTGCTGGACTGTTTCTTCGACCTCAGTGTTCAAATAACGTCCCAGGAACTTAATTATCGTAACAGCTCAACTGCAGAGGAGATGAACTACTAGAACGATAAAATAGTATTGTCAGGCTTCAGAAAGTACCATAACACACCATAATGCTCTTTGTTTGTTATCCAAAATTTTGCATAAGCATTGTCTTCACTTTCTCTTGGGAGTTAAAGTGGCCCCAAGAGAAACTGAAAACAATGCTTATGCAAAATTTGGGGTGACAAACAAAGAGCATTATGGTATGTTATGGTATTTTCTGGAGTGGTCAATTGGGCAACCAGGCGGATCGGACTGGGTTTTATAACAACAATGATCATCATCATGATCATCACCACCATCGTCATCAATTCATTAGCTCTTCTATGCCAAAAAAAGAAACTATCTAGTAAATAGGTACAGTATAGTGGAAAATACAAATTTAGAATAGATCTAAATCTAACTATAAGCTAAATATATGTGTAAATAATGGAAAGTATTGTATAATAGATTAAGTAAGTAATAATTAAAAGATATATAAACATGTGTAGATCAAAGAACGCAAAAATGTGGGAATATATGTGCAGAAAAATATATGCATATTTCTTATATGCGTAATCCTATAATCCTCACACAGTCTCAGTCCCGGTTAGTGAGAACAGGTGTTGTTTAAGGCTACTTGCCATTTACATGGGGAAACCGGAAATAAAATAGTTTGTGTCATCCCATTTGGGAAGCTTCAGAGTCTTCAGAACGAAATCTGGGCTGTGATTTGCAACGATGCAATTTTTCTTCTTTTTGTTTGCTCTGTTGAGCTTATTTGGATATACGTCAAATTTTAAAAAAGTTTTGCGTTTATGTACAAGGTGTTTGTGTAGATGGTAAGCTCCCGTACATTTAGTCTAGGCTAATATTCGGGAACGACTTTGCAGTTTCTTATTGAAGATGGGATCTTGTGGGTTTATATTCCCCTAACCGTCGATTTGAAGGCCAACCCTCACAGTGTAGGGCTTTATACACTAGCTTTAATAAATGAAAATCTTTTACGGTGATGTATGGGTAATCAATGTACTTTGATTACCAAGAAAGAAAGGTTAGAAAAGATGAAAGGAAACTTTGTCAGGCAATTATCATGCCATATATTTTTGGTGTATATCTTAAGCCTTTCGCAGTCCAAATGATGTCAATATTCAATATGATATATTTGTTATCAATACAACTTTTTTTTCCACTTTTCTTTTTGGTTCAAAATGAAAAGGGGTAGTAGTAATATTTTAAACAAGAAAACACACTTCAGCAAATTTGGAATGAAATAAAAGAAAAAAGATTACAAGAAAAGCTTTACCCGCTATCTCTTATAAAGTCATATACCTAACATACGAAAAAGTTCAAACCATTAGCTATAAATGCCTTGATCTAAATGGGTTGTTCTATCGTTATCTTGCACGTACCGATAAATTGGGCTTATAACACTCAGACACACACTGCGTCCCGTAGCTTGCTCAGTTCTTTCCTGAATGTGAATATATCTACCATGTTCGACAGTTTCAAGTTCTTTTCTAAACATCTGTAGAAATACTCTGGTCATTCATTGCGTATTGGTTGTTGAAGGTCAATCAACGTCTGTCCTTCTTAACACAGCTCTCCCAGCCCCTTCGTAAATGTGAATATATCTAGCATGTTCGTCAAATTCAAGTCCCGTTCTAAACATCTGTAGAAATACTCGGGGCATTCCTCGCGTAATTTCTGAAGATCAGTCAGTGACTGTCCATTCATCCCCGAAATGTCTTGCTTACAAACCTTTTCTAAACCGATTTCTTTGAACCACTGTTTCACCTCTTCATTAGTCCAGGTAGACACCCCAGGGGATGAGGATGAAGTGGCAACAATGTCAGATTGAACTGCTTGCACCACTGGCTTGGATGGACCATCTGTCACGTCAACATCCTTTCCTCTTCCTCCTAGTTCTTTGATCACTTTCGTTACACTTTGTTCTAATACGTGTTTACTCTGAAAGTCAAACCACATCTTTCCTGTCACGATAATGCCCAGCCAACCGTCTCCTTTGTAATTACGTTCCATCATCAAAGGAATGATATCTTTCTTCAAGTCATAAGCGTACGTCGCCTCTGAACGACAGTTTTGACTTTCCTTGTACCGTCGCGAGACACAGACAAGAACAACAGAAGCATTCTCAACAGCTTCAGCCATTGCGTCCAAGGTCGATCCTTTCATCTGCTCCAGATCCATCCATACTCTGTATCCACTTGCTTGAAGCCTGTTTTTCACTTCGACGAGCACTTCCTGGGAATCCCATTGGTAGCTGATCATCACGTGATTCCTGGTCGATGCGATCCTCTCTAAGTGCCTAGCTGTCTTCCCTTCGATTTCCCACAATGCACCTGCAGCAGCCTTCTGCACTTCTGGGTTCTCGCTCTGCTGTAACCTGTGTAAGATGTCCATAGCCCCTTCTTCTTGACGTATTTTTTCTTTGTTACTGTCATGAAAGGCTAACATCCACAATGCTCTTGTAGCACTGGCTTTCTCCTCATCCTCGTTCGACGTTTTGATCACTGAAATCAAAACAGGAATGACTCCGTTTTGTCCCAAAATTTTCTTGTTGGCGTCGTTGATGGCGAGGTGGCTAAGGCCTTCTGCGAGTTCCTTTGCAGAAAAACCATAGCAACGGCGTCGATCTTCCGACTGCCACGCCAGATTTAGTAATATTATTATAAAGCTAAGCAAGTTCTCATCCGCCAAAATGAGATAATTCGTGTTTTCATCAACTAAATATGCTAGAGCGAGCAGAGATAAAGCTGCAATTTTTGGATCTTTTTTCCTAGCAAAGTGAAGCAACGTTTGCTCACGGTTAGCAAACAGCTCACGGTCCCGTAGTCGCCGTGAAATGTTATGCAGAATTCCAAGAAAGCTTCTAAGTATTGTAACTAGCTTCCCATTTTCCTCTTCTCGCTTGGAATTTTCAGCATCAATTTGTTCGGCGTTTTCAAAGCACATTGAAATGACACCTGCAGCCGCACACGCTGAACAAAAACCTTGGTGAAAGTCTGAGAAGTTATGTATTGCCGCTATAGTATTCCAAAGACAATCGTAAAATGAATAGAAGTCGTCCGTTTCTTCTTCATCGTCGGACTCTTCATCGTCGGAGGCTTCTTTAATGAGGTAGCTGAAATTCTTCCAGCAATGCTGTACGAAAAGTTTCATTTGTTCAGCGCCACCGACATCAATGGTGAATTCGATAAGTGTGGTGGACTGTTTTTCGTCTCGAGTCCCAGCGGACTGGTTTGTGAGGACGCTTGTATCAAATAAACCCTCGGTCGTCTTACCCAACTTGGCATAGTCTTCAGGGTCATTTAAATCTTTATCAACAAAGTTTTTGAGCGCCTGCAGTCTTTCAAGCATTGTTTCTAGATCCTCAGTTTGGTCGGGATATTTGGCCTTGTACGTTTCAAGAGTATCGTTGGGTGAAGCTTTCTTATCCGTACTGGTCTGACTGGTTCGAGCAACATCAACCTGCTCTTTAATTTCCATGGTCTGTGCTTCGTGACTGAAATGTTGATCTTGGACAGGAATCTTTGGTTGAACCGTATCCTTTAATGGGGAAAGGCTCTCGTCTGGCGGTGACGGTAGTCGTTTAGAGTGATGCTTATGGTGCGAGTTTCTGGATGCTCCGGCACCCATGGTGATACGAGGTTTCTAAGACCTGTCGATGCAGAAATGATGTAAATCTGTAATTGCCGTCTAGCAAACCGAGACAGTATTGTAAGCGAACTACTATGTACTTTTATAAAATAAAAGATAGTACGCGCGCTCTGATTGGCCGAGAGGAGTGTTTGCGTGAGAGTATGTAAACATGGTTGTGGCGTCAAGTTGTTTGGCTTTTCGCGCGCTAATTACGCAAGCACGAATTTGAAAAAGTTTTAGAGTTCAAAACTCGACAAGTTTACTTTATTTACCCATTCCTTCGTCGGCTGACACTTGGAAAATTGTTACAAAGATGGTGTGTCAATTTTTCTTCGCTTAAGCTGACATTTTAAGCGAGAAAAATCCCTATTTTGCAAAGCATCTTTTTGCAAAACAAGAACTGATTACGCGTGCAAGACTTCGTGGACAAGTTTTTGCGACTGGTAAGAATTTCTCTTTTAATCAGTTCCATACAAAGAGTTTTGCGTTTTTTTCTCGGGAAAGTTATTTTATAAAAGCAATAGAAAACTTTTTTTCCTGTGTTTGCATAGCCTGATATAAACTCTCGAGGCGTTGTGAGAATTCGAGACAGTTATGCAAATCCGAGACGAAGTCGAGGGTTTGCATAACTGTCTCGAATTCTCCCAACCCCTCTCGTGTTTATATCAGGCTATGCAAACACGGAAAACGTTTTCTGTTGCTTAAAGGAGCTCTGTCACGAAATTCAGCCAAATTAGGAAATTACAAAATGCCCGTTAAATTAAAAGAAACATAAAAATAACCGCTTAAAACTTTAAAGGAAGGTTAAAACAACATAACAGAAATAACAGATGCCACGGATGGGCAAAACTGAAGAAGATTGAAACGGATTGAAATTAGGGTTTTTGAAAACTGTTCAGCCTAACAGTTTTTCAAAGTTGGTCCCTGCTGCTTGCAACTTCAAAAATAATGTTCAGGAGACATATTTGTTTGTCTCGGATCTCTGATTTTGTCATTTACATGTAATTTCTTTGCTTACTTTAAGTTCCATAGCGATTGAGGGCGAGTAATTTGTAAAATGAAACAAAATGACCTGGACTGCCGTGACACAGCCCCTTTAATTTGCCAGCATTTCAGCTCTAATGAGATTTCGATTTAGCTATTAATCTGACGTATACCAGTGCTTTGTACGACCTATTCAAGTCTGCTGTACCGACTTTTTGGGAAATGAGCGAAAATCGACATGGATTGTTAATGCATCTTGACACATTATCGGATTATTTCAGCATAGCGAGATGGGTGTGACTTGTATACGTCAAAGAACCGTATAACCAATAGCACCAAAGAGTCTCTATTTCACTGACCACCCGTTGCCATGCAAAAATCGCGTTATCTGACGGGGTTCAGTGTTTTGACTTCAATACTTCTTATGTCTCCTTTAAAACTATTCCACATACACCAAAATTGCAACAACTTTGTCAGAAAAATTCTAAGAAGGAAAATGAGAAATGTAAAATTCCGAAATAAGAATTAATTAGACTTACTAATAAACCACTGTAGCATGTATTTATTTTCAACGCACGGATACAGCCGTCGCATTTTCGTTCGCTTTTACGCCCCAAAGACTTTGCAGCAAATGAATGCACCCTACATCTGTCTAGGTTGATTATCCATCCGTTCCGTGTAACAAGAGCCTTTGTCATAATTAATTCAACAATTACTTTGTTAAACTGAGTTTCCTACGAATTTCGCTGAAATGGTTTCTCTCATGACTTCGTTGGCAGTTTTAAACTTGTCATTGAGTAACTTTCCCTGCATTTAAATCTCAATTTCATTATACATCCATGCATGCATACCTCGCTTTTTCTTTCCAGTTTTGTTTTTTGTTTGCCTTCAAATGTAAATCTGTGTTCGCTATTCATTACGTGGCGTGAAATAGACTTAAGGGCGACCAACCGAAACTGGATTATTTTCTTCGAGGGTTCTGCCGATATTTCAGTTCATTGAGGTTAATTACGTCTTTAGGAAGAACTCTCTCTTACCTTTTTAAAATATATTCTTTATTTAAGACAAACTAAAGTTTCAACAGGAACTTTTAAAGTCAGTCTTTCTAATTATTTTTCCTTTTTGTTCAATAATCTATGGCTTAGTTACTAGTAAGTTACATAAGATCTGGTAATGATACACCGAAATTGTTCTCTTTAACTCGGGTAACTATAGAGGTGATCGATCAGATGGTTCGACCTGTAGAACTGACGTTAAACTCCAAACTGGATTTGTGATGTATGGTCTCAGCTGGAACTTCCGGGTTGCTGTTGTAGTCATTCGAAAATGAAGGATAGGGTTTTATTGCGAGAAATTTTGAAAGGAAACTTGGCTGATCTATTTAATGATATCTTATATGTATAGTCTATTTTTAATCTTATCTATTTTAATGAGATACGTGTTATACGTGAGGCTGGGCGCTTATTAACTTTTTCTGCCTTTAGGATGAGCGCTTATTCGAGGTGGGCGCTAATAAACACGGTAAAAGAATACACTTGAGCAAATTGGAAATGAGTTAAAAAATTAGTTTAAGAAAAGCTTTCCTCGCAATCTCTCATCCTACACCTGCAAACACTCTGAGCAGGCCTATTATACTTTATCGAAGACAACCAAATGGAAAATTCAAAACATCAGTGCTAGTAACTGCCTGGAAACGAGTCTTAACTCTAACGGGTTCTAGCCCTATGGAGTATGTAACGGTACATTGGGCTTACAACACTCACACCTATCTCTCACCAATTGTTAAAATAGCCTAACAGGCCACTCAGTTCTTTCCTGAATGGACCATATTCGTCGAATATAAGATCCGCTCTAAACAACTGTAGAAAAACCCAGCGCATTTATTTGTTGAAGATCAATCAACGCCTGTTATTAGGCCGAACAGTAATACTAATAAACTGTAGCGTCAATATGCATGAAACCACTAATTCAATTTATGGGACCTCCTTTATGCCGCACGTTTTACACGTAAAGTTTTGTGTACTTAGCTGTGATTTTAAATGTGCCCTACGTTTGCGTTGAATCTCGTCAATAATGGGTTGGTTTTAGCCCCGTACAGTGAATGCTAAAATACTGAAATTAAAGTCATTGCATGCCACAGCACAGCTTCCTCAGCTCCTTCGTAAATTTGAGTATATCTAGTATGTTTTTCAAGTTCAAGTCCCGTTCTAGACATCTGTAGAAATACTCGGGGCATTCCTCACGTAGTTGCTGAAGACCAGTCAGTGACTGTCCATTCATCTCTGAAATGTCTTCCTTGCAAACCTTTTCTAATCCAATTTCTTTGAACCACTGTTTCACCTCTTCATTAGTCCAGGTAGACACCCCTGGGAATGAGGGTGCGGCAAGAAGATTTGCTTGAACTGCTCGAACTGCTGGTTCGGATGGCCCATCTGTCACGTCAGCCTCCTTTCCTCTCCCTCCTAGCTCTCTAATTAGTCCCGTTACACTTTGTTCCAATACGTGTTTACTTTCAGTGAAAGTCGTGCCGGAACTTTTCTCCCACGATTATACCCAGCCAACCGTCTGGCATGTAGTTGCGTTGCATCATCAAAGGTATAATTTCTTTTCTTAACTGAAACGCGTACTTTGCTTCTGCACGACAGTTTGGACTCTCCTTGTATCGCTCTGATACGCAAACAAGGACGACAGAAGAATTCTCAACAGCTTTAGCCATAGCGTCTAAGGTTGATCCTCCGATCTGCTCCAGATCCATCCATACTCGGTATCCACTTGCTCGAAGTCTGTTTTTCAATTCGACGAGCACTTTCTGGGAATCCCATTGGTAGCTGATCATCACGTGATTCCCTGTCGATTCGATCCTCTCTGAGTGCCTAACTGTCTTCCCTTCCAGTTCCCACAATGCGCCTGCAGCAGCCCTTTGCACTTGTGGGTTCTCGCTGTGCTGTAACTGTTGTAAGATGTCCATAGCCCCTTCTTCTTTTTGACGTATAGCTTCTTTGTTACTGTCGTCAAAGGCTAACATCCACAATGCTCTTGTAGCACAACCTTTCTCCTCATCCTCTTTGGACGTTTTGATCACTGAAATTAAAACAGGAACGACTCCATTTTGTCCCAAAATGTTCTTGTTGAGATCTTTGATGGCCAGGTGCCTGAGACCTTCTGCGAGTTCCTTTACAGAGTATCCACTGGAACGTCGATCTTTTGACTGCCATGCTTCATCTAATAAAGTTATAATAAATGTGAGCAATCTTTTATCCGCCAGAATGAGATGATTTGTGTTTTCATCAACTAAATACGCCAGAGTAAGCAGAGATGAAGCTGCAATTGTCCGAACTTTTTTCTTGGCAAAGTCAACCAACGTTTCCTCACGATCAGCAAACAGCTCGCGATTTCTTAGTCGCCGTGAAATGCAGAATTGCTATAGCGCTTTTAATTATCGCGGCAGCTAGCTGCCTCGAATCTTCATGTTCCTCCTCCCAGTTGGAATGTGCATCATCAATTTGTTTGATGATTTCAAAGCACATTGAAATGACACCCGCATCCGCACACGCTGAACAAAACCCTTGGTGAAAGTCTGAGAAGTTTTGTATGATCACCAAGGCAACCAAAAGACAATGGTGACATATGTAACCGACAGCTGGTTTTTCTTCATCGTCGGTCTCTTCTGTTAGCGCGTAGCTGTGTTTCTTAAAGCAATGCTGTACGAACAATTTCAACTTCTCAGCGCCACCTACATCAATGATGAATTCTGTAAGTATGGTGAACTGTTTTGCTTCGGGTGTCCCAGCTGATGTGGCTGTAAGCATACTTGTTTTACACAAACCCTCTAGAGTCAGCTTACCCACTGTAGCATAATCGTCTGGGTCATTTAAATTTTTATCAACAAAGTTTTTTAGCGCTTGAAGTCTGATAAGCATTGTTTCTAGATCCTCAGCTTGGTCTGGATGTTTGAACATGTATTCAAGAGTGTCGTTGCCAACATTAACCTCCTCTTCTGTCTCTTCGTTCTCTATTTCGGGACTAGACCGTTGATCTTGGACGGACATCTGTGACTGAATCGAGTCCTTTAGTGACGGTAGACTGTCGCCTCTTGGTGTCGGTGCAGGCATTGCTTTCCATTTCCATTGGTGGGTTGTGGTGCTGTCTTGATGCTCCAGCGCCCATAGTGATACCGCGACGTGTTTACAAGGGAAATGTAAATCGTTAACTGGTTTAGCAAATTGAAACAATGTTTTTAAGAAATTGATGGAAAAAATACTACGTACTTTTCGCCAGCATTTCTGCTTTAGAGAACGGTTTAGTGGGCTATCTGATATTCAGATACGCTGTATTCAGGTCTTTTGCACCTGCATTTCGAAGCCGGAAATAGTGTAAATCGATTTATAAAATAATTAAGATAGTACGTGCGCTGTGATTGGCCGAGAGGAGTGTTTGCATAGAGTATGTAAGCATGGTTGTGTCGTCAAGATGTTTTGCTTTTCGCGCGCTAATTACGCAAGCACGAATTTGAAAAAGTTTTCGAGTTCAAAACTCGACAAGTTTACTTTATTTACCCATTCCTTCGTCGGGTGAAACTTGGAAAATCGTTACAAACAAAGTGTGTCAATTTTTCTTCGCTTAAGCTGACATTTTAAGCGAGAAAAATCCGTGTTTTGGAAAGCTTCTTTTTGCAAAACAAGAACTGACTACGCGTGCAAGACTTCGTGGACAAGGCTTTGCGACTGATAAGAATTTCTCTTTTAACCAGTGCGATAACAAAGAGTTTTGCGTTTTTTCTCGGGAAAGTTATTTTGTAACTTTATAACTTTTTTCCTGTGTTTGCATAGCCTGATGTAAACACGAGAGGGGCTGGGAGAATTCTCGACAGTTATGCAAACCCTCGACTTCGTCTCGGGTTTGCATAACTGTCTCGAATTCTCCCAAGCCCTCTCGTGTTTATATCAGGCTATGCAAACACGGAAAACGTTTTCTATTGCTTAAATACTGCGTTTCCTAGAAACATCGGTGAAATGATTATTTTCCTCTCTCTCGACTTCTCGTAGCGAGAAGGGAGTGGCAGGGAAGGCTTAAGCCCCCTCCCATTTTTGCAGCGTCAGAAAATCTTATTTTTTCTGGTTTTATTTTAGTGAACCAATTTCATTTTGTACAGAAATAACTTCATTAACATATTTTTCAAAACAAATGCTCCTGTCTTCATCACTGTTTCTCGGTATCGTTTCGGTGGTTTTCTTAGGCAGGGAGATGACTGAAATCATGAACAATAAACGTTGACGAAGAAAACAGGTTTACTATCAACGCTAGTGCTTATTTTCATGCAAAACTGAAACCATCAGGTATAGTAACGATTTCAAAGAATAAGAGGGCACATATGATTCACGTAAATAGGAAAAAGAAAAGAAAACTTTGTACCGGTGGGGTGTAAGACCTAACCTGAGAAAATGGCCGACATTTCGCGACGACACCACTGATTTCCGCGCGATGAAGTGTCACCACCCAGATCTGTGCAGTACTTCTGATTGGATGAATTAAATTTTCAACCAATCAGAAGCATTACCTAGAACTGGGTACTGAAGTGAAACGTCATCATTGTGGAATTTCTGCGTTCGTTCCTCAGACGTCATCCACACCTACTCTTAATCTCGCTCCGCCGTCCCTGACGAAAAACTGTTGAGGGCTTATGAAGCTCGCTTGGCTTTTCAACGAGAGGACCAGGACTCTTTTCTTTCTCCTTAGACAGCAGTTTATTATTCAACAGCTTCTGACAACAACTCTACTACTCAACTAACTTACACAGCGAATTAGGTAACTAAATTGTAGACTTATTTTGAGTTAGCTGGCCGGAAAAGTTTCTATTGAATACCTTATGGCCTATATCGCAACAGGTTTGCTATAGTAAGATAAGCCTACACAGCCGCAACTGACAAATACCAAAGAACCAGTTAAATGCTAACAGTGAAACTGCCCAGAAGGACAAAACATACAAAACAGGAACTCGACTGTGGGTAAAACCTAAGGTCAGCTGTACTCGCCAAACAAGCCTACTTCAAAGAACCAAAACTAAGTTTAACAAACTCTTCAAAGGGATAACACTAGACAAAATCTCAGGAACTAACCATGTGGGGAAATACATTGAATCTTTAAGTTTCTAAGTCTATAAAAGTCTATAAACTGTTTATCATGAAACTAGCAAAATCTTAAAAATAGCAAAACTGAAAAACAAAACTAAAGGTAACTACCTCATAACAAAACATTACTGGATATCACTGATTTTGTTGCAGTTAAAATTGTTTTTAGTTCAACTTCAAAAGCAAATCGGTGTCCGGTATTTTCTAAAGGTTATAGCCTCTAGTTACATTGCAGGATGTTCCGGTTGTCGAACTGAGTATTCTTTCAAAATTAGACCTAATGTATAAAACCGTGTGTGGTAATATATCATACTTCTCTTATCGCAAAGGTATAGAGCGTTTCAATCATGTGGCCAGTAGCTATTCAAGAGAAACGTTCAATCCCTGCAAGACTGGTTTGGAACACCAATATGGCCGCCGACACGTACACCAATATGACGTGACGTCATGTCAAAATGCTCTCGCCATATTTCACATCATAATAATATTGATATGTATAGTTCCTTATCAAAGTGCAAAGGTTAACTCGAGAAAGGGGGAGCCCGTAAGATGTGTCCGTGAAGTCTACGAGCACGTTGATACCTCCCTTTGGTGTTCGTATTCACCGGGTTGCACTAAATATCTTCGTTCCGTCTGACGCTACTACAATGGTGACTAAAGAGTGCTGGCATTTCAAACGGACGATTTAATTGTGAGAGAGAGAAAGCGAAACTTCACTCTTAATTCAAGGTGGGGCGTATTACTTGCTTGGCCTTATCATTCTACATATTTTTGTTATATATGTGTAGCCTTTCCGGCTCAGTTTCTACACTAACAACTAATAATAGTTGACACTACAGCTGCCCCGCTCTGTATATTGTCGGTCAATAGTAGCCTTTTGAAATATATCGATTCATAATGAAGATTTTCACGCATATTCCATACAATAGGCGAGATAAACACAGGGAACGCACGGTTCCAAGCACAGTTTCTGTTCGATTTACAGAGCTATGAGCAAAACATTCTCAGTTTCGAGAATAGTTTATTCTAAACCATAAGAAAAGATTTAATTAGAAGTTGAATTTTTCGCTATTTCTCTTTCGCTTTTCACATACAGTTCATTTTATTTGCCGGAATTGGCTTGGTAATTAAAAGGACGTTTGATCAATTCACGCTCGCGCATTCTATTCTTTTTTTTTTAACTTTATAGCTATGTGAGCAGGGAATAAGTCCGCACAGAATTTGATTGTCGGCGGATTTCTGTAATTCTAGTGATAAGCCAGCCGTTGATTCACTCGTCTTGCTTGTTTGGGGCTGAATCTTATTCCGGTCAAAGAGACGAAGATCGAGAAAGACTTTCAGATTTGTGAACTCGTGTATGGCAAACTCTCCACTTAAAAGTATTTATATATACACTGTTATACGCACCTAAAAACTTCATCTGCGCTTAACGAGTGTCTTTTAGTCCATAACTTTCTAAACAACTGCTGCACAGAACGTCACTGATAACACGTAACGCAAAAGAGTATCGAAGTATGACTGCACAATAAATGTCACAAAATCTACCTAAGCGGTCCCTTCGGGATTTTCTGTCTTTACGTCATCCTAACCATCTCGTACTTGCGGTCGCGAACAATAGAAACGTCATCATTTATATCTACCGATTCCTCGCGGCCCCTGTTCAAACAATTCGAGATTTTTCTGGCATACTGACTGTATATTTCAACTGTAAGTATTTACGCGCGAGTTACTAGAGTGCCTCCCTGCGGGGGCAATGATGTACGAATTACTGTTTCAATTTTCTTTTTTTCTTTTGCTTTTCTCGTTCTTTTTCTTTTCTTCGTATTTTTTAATTTTTATGTCGGTTTTAGTATTTTTTTTTGTCTTAAAAAACGGTTTGTTTTAAACTTCAGGTAAACGTGTCAGTAAATTAGGCTGTAAAACAGACACACATTGCAAGACACTTAATATCCTAACAGCTTACTCAGCTCTTTCCTGAATTTGAATATATCGACCATTCTTGTCAGGTTCAAGTCCCGTTCTAAACATATGTAGAAATACTCGGGACACTCCCCACGTAGTTGCTGAAGATCAATCAACGTCTCTCCATTTATCTCCGAAATGTCTTCGTTGCAAACCTTTTCTAATCCGATTTCTTTAAACCACTGTTTCACCTCTTCGTTAGTCCAGGTAGACACCCCTGGGGATGAGGGTGCAGTGTCGACGTCACCTGATTGAGCTTCTGGAGCCACTGGGGTGACGGATGGCTCATCTGTGTTGTCAACATCCTTTCCTCTGCCTCCTAGTTCTTTGATTAGTTTTGTAACACTTGGTTCTATAGATTGCTGACTATTAAAGTCAAACCACAACTTTGTTCCCACGAGCATACCCAGCCAACCGTCTCCTCGGTATTTGCGTTGCATCATCAGCGGAATTATATCTTTTCTTAACTGGTACGCGTACTCTGCCTCTGAACGACAGTTTGGGCTCTCCTTGTATCGTTCCGAGACACAGACAAGGACGACAGAAGAATTCTCAACAGCTTTGGCCATCGCCTCCAAGGTCGATCCTCTCATTTGTTCCAGATCCATCCACACTCTGTATCCACTTGCTTGAAGTCTGTTTTTTACTTCGATCAGCACTTCCTGGGAATCCCATTGGTAGCTGATCATCACGTGATTCCCTGTCGATTCGGTCCTCTCCGCGTTTCTAGCTGTCTTCCCTTCGACCTCCCACAATGCACCTGCAGCGGCCCTTTGTACTTGTGAGTCCTTACTGTGTTGTAAATGACGTAAAAGGCCCACAGCTCCGTCTTCTTGGCGTATAGCTTTTTTGTTGTTGTCATCAAAGGCTAACATCCACAATGCTTTAATAGCACTTACTTTTTCCGCATCTTCGCTGGACGTTTTGATGACTGAAATCAAAACACGCGTGGCTGCTTTTTGTCCTAGAATTTTCTTGTTTGTGTCGTTGATGGCGAGATGGCTGAGGCCTTCTGCGAGCTCCTTTATAGAATATCCAATCGAACGGCGTTCTTCCGACTGCCATGCCTCATCTAACAATGTTATTATAAAGCCGAGCAAGGTTTCTTCCGCCAGAATGAGATGATTTGTGTTTTCATCAACTAAATATGCCAGAGTAAGCAGAGAGTGGGCTGCAATCTCTCTTACTTTCTTCTTGGCCAAACAAAGTAGCGTTTCGAGACTGTTTGCAAACAGGTCACGGTTCTTGAACCGTTGTGAAATGTTATACAAAATTCCAAGACAGTTGTCAATTATTATGACTGGCTCCGAGTCTTCATCTCCTTCTTCCCAGTTCAAATTTTCAGCATCAATTCGTTTCACGTTTTCAAGGCACATTGAAATGACACCTTCATTCACACACGCGGAACAAAATCCTTGGTGGAAATCTGCAAAGTTTTGTATTGTCGCTAAGGTATCAAAAAGACAAGCGCAGCATGCCCTATATTTCTTACTTTTTGTCTCAGTGGCTCCTGCTAAAACATAATATTCCTCAAAGCAATACTGCACAAACCGTTTCAGCTCTTCTACGCCTCCCACATCGACAATAAAATCAAGTAATGTGGTGAATTGAGCAGCCTCAGGGGTCCCAGCAGACATGCCAGATTGGACGCTAGTTTTACGCAAACCATTGACTGTCTGCGTGGCCACTTTGTAAAACTCATCAGGATCATTTGAGTTGCTGTCAACAAAGGTCTTGAGGGCTTGTAGCCTGTTAAAAATTGTTTGTAGGCTCTCAGCTTGCTCGGGATAATTAACCTTATATTGGTCAAGAGTATCGTTTGGCAAAGCTTCCAAATCCTGAGTGTCGTTACCTTGAGATAAGTTCACATTCCTTGTCCTGTTTTCGCAGGAGTCTCCATGGGGACTAAACTGTTGGTCTTGCACAGGCATCTGAGTTTGAGCCATGTTCTTGTGCAAAGACTAAAGAGGCGTCTTGACTGCCGGTGGTGCCGCTGATGTTATGGATACGATCTTTAGGGTCGCGTTTCACGTAGAAATCCTTGGAGGAATACGAAGTCCCTAACCAATGTCGACATGGATGCATAGTAACTCGAAAAATACAGTTCTTATATTAGTCATCAAACGGAAAGAATGTCGTAAGAGACTAATAGAATGAGGACAAAGCCTGTTCGTTTTGCTAGCGTTGGTTTGCCTTTGAGATTTTTGTAGCGATACCGATATGCAGTGCTTACGTGTTCGCTGTGACGTCAATATTATCACGCAATTTCAACTAATCACTGAGAAACAACTAAATTATAAAACTAGAACACAAAAAAACAAGAAGACGCCCGAAGGCGCTTACGCGGGATTTGTGGGTTTAAGAAAGAATTACGGGTATGTTGGATGGCAATGGAAAGTTGAGTAGTGTATGCAACAAATGTGTGCAGGAGAGACGGAGATGTTCTGTTAAGGACTAATACACTAGAAGATGATTTACACACAAGGGTTCCTTTGCTACTCAAAACAAAACTTACATCAATATTACCACCATATGTTGGGAGTATGGGGTAGTTCACTAAAATTTGCATTCCTTTACTAATGTCCTCAAAAAATGCACTTCCACATTTAACAATAGCATGTAATGTATCATACTTCTAATAACTACAGGGCTGCAAGGAAGTGCTCTAGGAAAAATTTCAGAGACCCATTTGGGCTCCCCAAGCATTTTTAGCTGGGGTGCCCGGGCCTCTAAGTTGGTCGCCCAAATTAATAAATCAGTGAGCTGTTAGTTAATTATGAAAAATTAAACAAATTATTTTCTTAACAAGTCAAGCAGAATTTGTGAATATTTTTTTCATGAAAAATCACATCCCTTTGACCTCCTGAGCGTGCGAAAAAAAAAACCGCATGTTGTCATATGAAAGTAAGTTTTCGCGCCATATGAGAAACATGGACAACGCCGCCGAACATTTCATGTTTTTTAAATGGAAAAGTAAATTTGGGGTCAAAAATAAGGGCACTATTCTTTTTACTAATCATTTTGATTTAGGTTGAAAAGAAAATTCGCTAATTAAGATTGACTGAGATCCCGTGGAGCTTTCCAGGAAAACTGTTATGAATTAACGAAAACCGCGGCGCCCCCCGGGGGTTACTTGCGTTAATTTTTGCTGGGTATGTGCCGCTGGCCTCTCAGAGCCCCTACCCCATCATAGTCTTTTCTGTGGCCAATTGTAGACCCCATATTACTCACTCTTGGGGAAATATGTAATTTTTGCGATCCCAACTTAGTCACTTTCTATTTATGTATCTACCTTATCAGGACTCCTGACCTTATCAATCCTTTAAATTGGTCATCAAGTAGCCTGTTCCAGGCGTTCAGATAGTGGGGAGCGGTGCAAAGTAAAAGGGAACGCTTGGAACAGGCTAGTCATCAAGAAATGAATTGACCCATTTTTTAATAAATTGAATGAAGAACACTTTACTTTTCACCTACAGTACAAATATCCTGATAGGTTTGCTAACCGTAAATATGAACAGCTCTCTTACCCCAAAAATCCGAAAATGTGCGACCCCATTCTAGTAACTCTTTTGAAAATGCAACTCCAAAATAGTCAATCTAGTCGTGAAAATGCGACCCCATCCAGCGGCACAACCCCATTAGCCTCTTTATAAGGAAGTGCCCCCCCACTTGGGGCCGCCCCAAAACTATTATCTCTTTTGAATAGATCATCTTGTTGTAAAGTCGTCTTTTAAGCGCAAAACGGAAGTATTTTCTTTCTATATTACCGGTAAAATGTTCAGGACAAATGTAGATTCGGTTAGCTTTTGCGTATTTATTTTTAGTACGTGATACGTAATGCCTTGTCACGACACGAAAGACAATGCGGGATTTATACCCGATTCAGTAGAACAATCACAATTATAATAATCGTCTCTTTTCTTTTTTATGCATCGTATTTTACTGGAATAACAATCTTAGTTATGTTCTATCCTCCCAGACACAGCAGTAAAAAAAGGTAAAAATATTTAAAGAACATAAAAGACCGACTCCCTTGTTTATTCAGCGATTTTTCAAAATACAAAACTATTGTTTTGCGTCGCCGACCGTACTTCACGCCTGTCAGAGCAAAATTAACAACTTGTTTTGAAAAACTAACTAATGAACAATCCTAATTTGAAGGAAAAATTTCAATGTCACTCTGAAAAGCTCTTACTATCGAAAACTGTGCAGCTTGTCACGTTCATAGTCAAGGATTATGTTACATGTGAATTTACGTGAAACGACCTTTGAACATCAACGCGTGCCCGCTGCCCGATTTAACAACATTTTCCTAAAGCTTTTTGATAGACATGCTACTTATTGCTACTTACAGAGTCGACCTCAAGAGTTGCTTAGCGACAGGAGCGTTCCTTTTAGGCCGCGAAGCCACCGAGAGAGCTACGATTTCGCAAGTAATAAATTCTGGACATTCTTAGCTTTTTGACTGTAACTCATCAACAGAAACAAGAAACCAACACCAGCAAGTCGCCCGGCTGGGCCACCTAGACAATATTTACAGTCGCCCGAGGCCAAGTCTTGCGCCGTATTAAGAGCACGGCCTTGAGTCTTCGTCCCCCTCTACACAGTGAGCTTACTTTTCCCTACTTTGCTAACGCAGTATCTTTTATCGGCTTGTGCAATCCAGCCTGACTTGCACGTGCTTCGACGTTGCGGCCAATAAAAATCCACACAATTTTTCGGGACGGGCACGGGATACGGGAAAGTTAAAAAAACAAGGCAATTTTTGACTCCCAAGACGACGAAAGGAATGCGCTACCGAATTTTAGACGCTGGCTGACTACGTCATCCCGCGTAATAAACAGGAAAAACGAAACGGTGAATAAAATCACAAAAGGGTATAAGCGATTCAGGCATGGAAAGGGATTAGTCTGATTAGTGCTCAAAATCTAAAGTAAAAAAATGCTCTTGTCCAAAGAAAATATTTACTAACGTGACCTAATTTACATAGCTTTAATTACCTGAATTCCAAACGCTCTTCAAAAACCAGCATGACATGAAAGGTTTCTGTTGGTTTTATACCAAGCATAAACGCAAAAACGCGCTTCATAGACAACTTTTATCAAACGTTGCAGCTGTGCAACGAGCGAGTTATGGATGCACTTGGCACTTGGTAAAGCCACTTATTTCTCGATTTTCTGCACCCATGCCTATACATTCCTGACTTCCGGACGACGTCCGAAAATTAATGTGAGTTATAACTCGAACGAAAATTCTAGGGTAACTTTCTCTTGACTATCTAATTTACGAAAAGCCCAGGACAACTTTTCCTCGACCACCTAAATTACGAAAATTCTAGGGCAATTTTCTTTTCGAAATTCAAGACAACGTGTTCCTTCCCTAGAGGAGAAATTTTCCGAAAAATTTAGGCGACCTTCATGTACGTCGGAACAGATATTTTACCATTATTTTTTATTCGTTGGGTGCCCCTGACTTGGGAGGTTTGCTAAGCACTCAAGAAGCTAGAGTTGCACTCGGCTATCACCTCTTGCAACTCTTACGCTTCTTTGGTGCTAAGCAACCTCTAGCCTGCGAAGCGCAGACGTATTTCCGGTCGTCGCAAGCGATGACCGGAAATACGTCTGCGCTTCGCAGCCTAAGCAACCTCCCGCGTGCATCCGTAATTTGATGGTTGCACGCGGCAGGTTTACCATTTCTTAATCGGACTAATCTGGAATCAAGTCCGCAATCAAGATACATGTTCGGAAATAGGAAAATATTATTAATCAATGCGCTAAAATATATTCACGGGGAAACAAGGACGAGCTGTTGAGAATTGCGATCGATTTCGCCGAATTCCGTCGAATTAATCACCGGTGATTTTCACAATCCTCTTACAAGTAAAAGTCAAACGTTAGACGGGCCAACCGTGAGCTGTTTAGAATTAATCATTTGAAGATTCACCTGTGACGAAAAGCGACGCACTTGCCAAAGAACGTTCTGAAACTTTCTTCGGAGGAAGCAAATCGATTAAAAATCGATAAACATTCTGTATAATCCCATTGGTCGGCTTGGAAGAAGAAATAATAGATAAAGATTTTACGCAATCCTATTGGCCAGCTTTGCAATTTGTTCGGACAATGAAGAACAAACCAAACCGGATTTTTACCGTGGTCTGCCACAGGCATCCCAAGTAATAAAGTCACGTTGGTTTTAGTCTTCTTCCCAAACTATGCAAGCAGTCTACTTAACATTTATGCGCTTGTATATGCTCGACATCAAGAAAATCTGGATCATTCTACGTATCGTCTGGGTAACGGACCACCTACTCCTCCCCTAAACCAACATTAACACTTACTTCTCACTTAGGGCAAAATGTTGGTTTAGGGGATGGGTAGGTGGTCAGTTACCCCGGATACATCTCGTTCCCTGGGCCTTCGTTACCTTTATCCAGCGGAACGAGCAACGGACGCCAGCTGGAAGAACCCCAAACCGGAACTACAATTCCTGGTTCCGGGTTTGATTGCGCAGGCGTAAAGTTGTTAAGTTACCTCGGTTTCAAACCTCTCTGACCAAGAGATGTTCTCAAAGGAATTTCTCACAAAACTAAGCTTTCTTATTCGTTTCACAGAAGTTTTCTCTACCTGTTACCTTCGATCAATCTACCTGTTTAGCAAAGAAAGACTTGAAATGACTTTGCAAGGGGATCGAATTTTCTTTTTTAACGCCACAACAAGCGTAGCTAGACTTCGGAACTTCAGATTTAACACTTCAGAATTGCATGGGATTTGGCACGTCGTTGTTCGTGCTGCCTAAGTATTGGTCACTTTGTAACATTATCAGTGGCAGCAAGCCAAGTCCCCGGCCACACAATCATGCTTTGTCATGTTTCACATCAACGTATCGAAAGGGATGTACGTCTTAATCCATTTTTAAGTTAAATCAAACGTTTACTTTGTTCAGACAGTAGTACCTTTACTGGTTTAAAATGTTTTGCCTCTCGAATCGTCTTTTTCCTACTTAAGCGTTCCCAAGCTGAGACTAATTATTGCCGATTCAACATGGGTTCGGCTATTTCACCTTAAGACCCCAAAGAATCAAGATTCACACGACTGACACTCCCAAAAATTATTTATACATGTTCAACCTCAGTTTTCATGTTTGAATTATCTCTCCAATGATATTTACGCGGCAAAATTTATTAGAAGTGTCGGTTTAAAAACAACGAAAAAGCACCCCAAATGAGTATCCATCTGCCTTAAAAGCTACCTGTTTTTTTATTATTATTATTATTTTTTGTATTGTTTCAACCGGAACTGGGTCAGATACACGAAAATCAGATAAGTTTATGACTACAATATAACAGTAACGATGCACAACATCTAACTCTAAAGCAGGTTTATCATGGAGACTGCAAAGATATCAAAGCCCCGTCCAACCTCCAAAACTGTGATGTTTTCATCAATATTTTTTGCCATTGCTGTCTGCTTTGTGGCACTGATTCACGTCGAGATCGTGCTACGCACTCATCGACATACGCTTCAAGTCTTGTCTCGAGAGAGAGAAGCAAATGCAGAGCTACGAAACGCAGTTCACCGTCATGAAGCAGCGTTTGACCTGATCTTGAGGATGTTTCACAGTAACTCGCATGAAAGTAAGTTGGGTTACACAGTAAACTTAACGTTTAAGAGACTAACGTGACCATCTCAGAATCGTGCGATTTTCTAGCAGCTTGAAGCTAATGCAGGTATCAATGTTAAGAAGGGGAGGGGCGGGGGTACAGGCAAAGGTGCGGCACTTTGAATTTTTTTTGCATTTTTTGGCCCGGGGGGGTACTTGATATATCCTTGGGTGAGGAGGTGCGGCCCGGCCCCTTATACCCCGACCCTGTTTAAGACAAAAATCGCTGATTTTCCTACCCTGTTTTACACAGAATTCCGACTTTTGATACCCTGTTTAAGACATTTAACCCGAAACCATACCCTGTGTAAGACAATAATAAATATCGAAACTCTCTCTTATTTAAAAAACTATTTACAGCTTGATCAACAGAGTGGTAGTTTAGTTCGTAGGACATACGCGCGGGCTGTTTATCGTCCAAAAAAAGATACCCTGTTTAAGACAACAATTGATAAAATCGATACCCTGATCAACTTTGAAGACAAAAAAGTGATAAAATCGATACCCTGTACCCTGTTAAGACAAAACTCATGCCGCAAAACATACCCTGGCTGGCCGCACGTCCCGATTAAGGCCTTATAAGGGAGTTCCCCCCCGGGGGGTTTTGGTCAAATTCCCGGCCCTTAGGACTGGAAATTAGTTCAAATTTGATAAAATATCCACACCTGGGGATAAAAGACTGTGTAGTGACTTGTATTAAAAGTAATGAAGTAGTTTGAAATGTACGCTTTTAACTCCTGTTATCGAGGGTAGATTTAAGAAGATTGAAGTTGAATAAATTAAAGAAAAAAAATATAATCCCCGAAAGTTTTAGATTGCTTCCCAGTAGTGGAAAAGGTGTTGAGAGGATATTGCGTTCGTCACCAAAGTACTGCTAGGTTATCGTGACACCGCCCCTTGATTTACTGAAACCGGTCACTTCAACGATTAAAAAAGGCTGAAAATCCAGCTTTGGTTTCACCAAAATTGAATTCCAATATTCTTCAAACAAACTTTGCATTATACTGAATACGAGATGGAACGCTTTAGCGGTATTGCATTATAAAAATATAATAATTACAAATTCAAATGGACCCAGTCCTCGGCACGGTTAAATTCATATGGCCGCAACATGGGGCAAAATTTGTGGTCAAATGCCCGGCCAGAGAGGGGAAAGCAGAAGTGTTCAAATGCTGTACCTTTGCCCGTTTTTCCTGTATAACTAGTAAATAGAATCCCCCATTAACGTATTACTAAAGCATCCAGGCATGGCTCAATAAAAAAAAAGATTATTTTGGGTCTCGAACCCCCGCCACAATCAGGTATTATAATTCTAAAAGTTGCTGAAAACTTTCAGGAAACCTTATTTCGGCAAGTTCGATCGATTAGGATTGAACTGATGTGGTCACGTAAGACGTGATGTCATAATGGTAATCAAGAGGAAATTCTAAATGGGGTAAGAATTGTTGATTAAAAAGAAAGTCTGAACCATGTGTAAATGTTGGGTTTACCATATAAAGATTTTCGGTGTCCGGAACGGAGAGATTTTAAAATCTATTCAAAAGATATTAACAGATGAAAAGTATCGGTATCACGTGGCCTGTTTTGCTTAATTATCAATCGAATAAAATTGAGAGTTAACCATTCCGGCCAGTTTCACGCAGGGAACAATGGTACAATGGTAAAAATACTGTATTTCATATCTACTTTGTGGTATCTCGCCACGTAATTCAAAATTTCTTTTCTTTCCTGGACATGACCATAACGGGTCACGTGACACTAATATCCGGTTCCTTACGTAATTTCCGAGGTTGCTAAGTTTTGGAAGATTCTGGTAAATTTTCCCAAAGCTATAATCATTTCAAGATTTCATGCAAATTAGGCTCAAGCCAGGCCTTAATTGAAAGGTCTTTTCTCGTTTAGCTTAGATAATTTTATTTCATAAGTTCGCGTTATTAGCAATTCCTCGACAATAAATGAAAATGTGTTGAAAGCTAATTACCTTACTATTTATTTAAACACCAAGACGTCACGGAAGGAACAACACCATTGTACCATGGAGGTGTTAGCAATCGCCACAAAAGAAATGTAGCATCAAACACCAATCCAACGACCAGCCCAGAGGAACTTAAGACAAAAGTGACTTCATATGCCTGCCTCCTTATTCAGTGCCCAAGAAACATCACGCGTGGCCCCCCAGGTCCTCCCGGGCCTAAGGGAACTAGTGGACCTCCCGGCCTCCCGGGGCCTCCTGGTCCTCCTGGGCCTCACGGCTTCCAGGGGTCCCAGGGGCCTAAAGGTGACCAAGGTGCTGAGGGACCTCCTGGACGTAAAGGCGACCAAGGACCTCAAGGACCTAAGGGTTCTTGTGGTAAGTAAAGTTTTAAACACTCTACATGGGCAGGTAAAACCAGTTGCAGAAGGGCTTGAGAAACTGTTATCGACATTGTCCAAATATGAGCTTATCAGACTTGGCAGGATTCCAGCCTCTCTATATCCCTATATCAACTATTTTTAAAAGAATTCAAAGATCGTATTGAACTCTGGTTGGAAGGACACCTTCGAACGGGGAAGAGGGCGAAGAAATTCTTGTAATTGAAAGATTTCTTCATCTGAGGCACATTCTGAGAAGGTTTTTGGCAGGGCGTATCTAAAAAATTCAAACCATTTTGCAACTGAGATGCCAGCGAATAACAGTTTAAAGGTATTTTACTTTGTGACTTGATTAAGTTTTGCTGTTTAATATGATAACAAAACAAAATTACGAGTAGCATTTTTCCATTTTTCCACGCAACTTGAGCCTTTTTGGCAAGAAATTCTCAGGTTAACTTCAGAAATGTTTGTCAGAGTTGATCAGAATTATACCGACAGATGGACCAGGCATATACTTGCAACTGAATGAGATTTTCTTCTTTTTCAAGGCAAGATCAAGAAAGGGCTTGTATCTACTGAACCGGGCCTGTCGTGCGAAGACATCAAGTACAGCGGAGTTTACTCGAACGGTAATTACTGGATTCGACCTGCAGGGTCAAATGAGACTTTCCAAGCATATTGCGACATGTCAGCGGTTGGAGGTACGTAGAAATATAAACACTAATCCCAGTATAAAAACATTCATCCAAAGCCTTTTTTTCAGAATTGTGATTTCCTTACACTATTTTATTGACCTTTTTTTCTTCCCTAACCACGGAACAGCTTCTATCCGATGGATGAAAGTGATTTTGTACAGTCAATTTAAAGTAGTTAACTTATTTGCACTATGAGGCGGTCCATGGGGACCAGAGGTTTGATACCGCTTGTGCAGTCATCCTTTTTTACAGTTTTAGTGCACAACTTGCGAAAGATAAACAAATCTTCCAAAGCATGAAGAGGCTGGCATAAATGCAAAACTAAATTTTACTGGCATCTTAAAGAAAGGTCAAGTGCATCTAATCTATTTATTGCTTTGCCACTTCTTTGGTAGTTTTTTGTTAAAATGTTTGTAATAAGAGTAAATTTAAAGCAAAGTTCCAGCAGATTGAGTGCTTGTGTAATACTTTCATCGTTTTTCCTATAAGTCCATCATCTTTAAAATAGCAGACTAGTTAGCAAAAGTCAATTTGGCCAGTGCTAATTGCCCCTTGTACAGCAAGCACCAGATCATGGAGGAGCCATTTTGCAATGAAAATCTGTAGATAAGTTTTTTCTATTATTTTACGAAAAACAATCGCTCCTGCTTTTACTTACACTCGAGTTGTATCACTCTAAATCAGCCATTTGGACTGACTGTTACTGCCCCTTAGTTTGCTGACTTTCATCGCTACACGGTTACCTGATTTCCGGACCTCGACTTTTACAAGAAGATGTCACGTTTTGTTGAGCGTGAAGGTTCTGATTTCCACTAGATTCACCAGATTCCCGTTAGACTTCCTAAAATTTTGTTTTGCAAAATAGCCTAAACTAGCGACAAGCGCTAAGAGGACATTAAAGGCTGGACTTCAGATCGAGAGTCATGGTCAAATGACATGGTTTTCCTATAGCACCAAGAAAGACAGAATCTATGTTTTTCTATTTCCTCTTTTTTGGTAGATTGGAAGATTGTCACCCGTGCGTGGATTGAGAGCACTTTCAAACGAGGCGTTATGCTGACCTACAGCGAGGAAAACTATGGGCTCGTCATCTCTGGTAGCACATACTTGCGTGGCTGTGGCAAGACCATAAATCCAGGAGCGTTGACGTTAATCAAAGGTTACTGGACCAAAATAAAGTATACGCAAGAGTTTCGAGGGGTAACGTCGTGTTGGAGTATATTTGGGGCAAACTGGTGAGGTTTTAATAACGTTCATAGTGTCAATAATAGACCTAGACCTTCATAAATAAAAGAAACCACTGCAGCGAAAACAAGCAGAAATAAGCGTCCTATTCAGGACCCTAATGTATTCAGGATTGGCTTAAATCTGACTTCTAGCTACTGACTTTGACTCTGGAGAAGTCACTTGACGGCACTTGCACCACTATGCTTAACTTCCTGCAGTCCTGAACATCAACTCGCAAAGCCATGTACTCAATGAAATCCCGTGTTATACCCTTCCCAGACTTTCAAAAGGCTATTGTTACAATCTTTTGAGAAGAATTTCGTTAGGATCCGGTGAACTTTGTATTGAAAGCTCTAAGAAACGACAGAGACTAAACATATTGTCATCTAAAAAAATGACGTCCTTGCCGGAGTGGCCTTGTCCTTAAACAGATAATACGTTTTATGAACCTGATGTTTGTTTTAATGAGTTTAGGTATGGCCGTTCTTCTGTGAACAATCACCCAACAGGTCTGCACCCCTTTGACGGCTACAAAGGAGACTCGATAACCGGACAGCACAACATGGGAGGAAACTGTGAGTAAATTATATTCTTTTTCCTTTTGTGAAAATATAGCAATTTTTTCGCTAGATAGGCGAGGTTAAAAAGGAACTAGGCATATATATATATATATTTTATTTTTTTGGCCTCCATTAGGTTTAAAATGAAAATATTTGGCAAGCGTGTAATGTAAATAGTGAAGTCTATCAAGTCTATTTTTTTGTCCATTCCGTGAGATGGCCGAGATTTCAACACTAAAAAGAAAAGTAAATAATTATATAAGGCGTAGGATACATAATTAATTAAACTTAGGGTGTATTTAATTAAACTTAGGGTGTATTTATTTGCGGGATACGCCTACCGTAAATGATCGATTAAGCGCCGCGGTCCTTATTTCATTTTCCATGTTAAAGGTCAGCTGCGCTTCTTCGAAGGCGGCGCTTTTTTCAACTACCGGCAAAACACTGAGGGGAATATAGAGAAAACTCAAAGTTGAGTTGGTCGTGGTCTTATTTCTCAAGCGATATGGTTTTGATATCTCTTTTTAGTAAAATCCAACTAGTGGTCTATTATCAATGCTGTGTTCTGATTGGTTGAGCTACTACTAGGCTATATGTTATAGCCCATTAGCAGCAAAAAGCGCCGGCAATTTGGCGGGCACAAAATGATTAAAGTCTAGCTTTAACTGATACTAGCTAAAGTTGTTTTTTCTCGATATTTTTGACCAACTAGTTGGATTTTACTAAAACAATTATTCCTCTCGCCCTCATGGCCTGTGAGTCAATAGCCATTCGGCCTTCGGCCTCACTGGCTATTGGCTCAGAGTCCATTAGGGCTCGAGGAATAATTGTTAAATATCAATCGCCGTAACAAAGGTGTGGCGTTTATTTATAAATAGTTTATTGAGGGTGAACCAGTCAGTCATCCGGTTCAGATGTATCCTAAGAACTAATCGTAGATTCTATGCTACCTGTACCTGTGCCCCACCCGAAACAAGAAGCCACTAAAAACTGTGGACAAATATTGCAAGAGAGTACATATCATTCTTAAACTGAGAAAATCTAGAAGAGAAAAGACGCGAGGAAGAAGACTTACCAATAGAGAATGACATAAGACCTTCCGCCAAATACTAGACCTGCCCCCTAGTCGACATTTTTGAGCAACGGGAGAGATTTTTGAAGCGTAAGGGGCCGTCGACATATTCACTTGTTCCTCGCTCAACGTCGACTGAACGTTTGGCGGGAGGAGGCGGAAGAGGGATAAGGAGAAGTTAGTGCGGGGTATTTTTACCAACAGCAAACTTTTTAATGAAGTTTACCTTGTGCTTAGAAAGGTACACTTACACTTAAGAGGCGCACTGAGCTTTGTAAATGCGCCATATAGGAGTGTATTTTTTTTTTAATTTTATTTTTAAAGATCTTTTTTTAAAGAATTAGGAATTTTAGGAATACGGGATTTTATTCTTTTATTTCTTTTTCTTTTTAATATCAGAGACGGATAATTCTCTTTTGTAATGACTTAATATAAACTCTGGACTGCCTGCAAGAGTCACTGACCGCATCTGAACCGCAAGGAATGTATTTGCGAAATCGTTATTGAGAAAGTGATTGCTATTTTTATGATTTATATAATTCTTAATGTTATATAGTGCTTAATTCTTACTTCAAATATTTCTGTAAATTATGCACATAATTTTTTTAAAAAGTTCAATAAAGTTATTATTATTATTATTATTATTTATTATTATTATTATTATTATTATTACTATTATTATTAGGCATAGTTCAGTAGACTGGAAATGAGAAGTCGGTGCATATTGTGATCTTTTGAATTTCATCCTAGATGGCTAAAAAAAATTAAAGTTAAACGGTACCAAATATACGTAAGTTTGCTGATATCATAAATACGTTTGTGAACAAGAGACATGAAGAAAGCTCTTTGAAAACAAGGCGACCTTTTATTACCGATTCTAGTTTTCTTTTCTGAAGACTGAAGTCGGCATTCACAACGTCAACAAGAAAGCAGATTATGCAGGTGTTGCAGCAGACAGTTAAACTGTAGTGACTCTGAGAATGCAGTGACTTTTGGAGCAGCAAAATCTCAAGTGGGTGAGGGGGGGGGGCGTCTGACCTAAACGTCCAGTTGACGTCAAGCAGGGAACAAGTGAATATGTCGACGATCCCTAAAGAATAATAAACTTCTCATGCAAAAAAACTGGCGTATGAAATATACCAATGCGAACTTCTCTTGCAAAAAGAATTGCGACGTTGGTAATATAATAAAACAACCCGCTCAAGCTTTCAACTCTGCGTATATCGAGTTCTGAAGAACTTTGAAAGTGTAAAAAACACTCAAGAAGTTAGAGGTGCTTTCCATCGCGCTACAAGCAACTTTTACGCTTCTTTCGCGCTCTCCGTGCTAGCTTCCCGCGTGCTTGCTTTATAACTAGATGTGACGCTCAGATACGTGCTAGCATAAGCATGAACCAGTTGTTAACCGAAAATGTCCCTTTTCATTTTCAGCTCACGTCTTCGATGGCGTGACAACAAAATGTAACAATGACAGAGCAACCAACTTTTGGCTTCACCCGCATACAGTTCGTTCCGCCACTGTTGTCCTCAGAAGGAATTTGACAGCAAAAACGGCGGGAATTTTTACTGGCACCTCATGTGGCTTACCTACTTACAAGATCAAGGAGATTTTCGTTCGTTTTTAGATCGCGTATTTGACACATACCAGTTCGTTTTATCTGTACTCAGTGCAGACCTTCGTAACATCCAGCAGCATGGACCAAAGACTCGCCAGTAGCCATTAACTTTGTAGTAGATCAGAACTTCGTTGAATATGTTAAAAAAAACTTCTGTTTGTAGCTTCAGAGGTAGAGGGTCCTTGGTTAAGAATTAAACAGGAATTATCTGTAAGGTGATGTTGTTTTATGATAGTTTTTTGCCACTTATATACAATGAGTAGCGTCTGCATGTCCGTAGCACCCGTCAGTAACGATGGGAGATTGAAGAAACCTCTTAGGGAACCTTGGTGAACTGTTTGTAAACCTAGTGACTATGTCTGATGCCAGTGATGGCTAATGTCCGATGTTCAAAGTCTGATGGCCGATGTCTGATGTCTGATGTCCCATGTCCTCTGTTTGATGTCCGATGTCTGATGTCTGATGTCCTGTGTCCGATGTCCTATGTCCGATGTCCGATGCCCGATGTCTGATGACTGACGTCCGATGTCTGATGGCCGATGTCCGTTGTCAGTTGTCCGATGTCTCATGTCTGATGTCCGATGTCTGATGTCTGATGTCTGATGTCTGATGTCTGATGTCTGATGTCTGATGTCCGATGTCTGATGTCCGATGTTTGAAGACTGATGTCCGATGACTGACGTCTGATGTTCGATGTCTGATGCCCAGTGTCTGATGTCCTGATGTTCGATGTCCGATGTCCGATGTCTGATGTCTGATATCCGATGTCCTGATGTTCGATGTCCGATGTCCGATGTCCGATGTTTGATGTCTGATATCCGATGTCCGATGTCCGATGTCCGATGTCCGATGTCCGATGTCTGATATCCGATGCTCCGATTTGCCATGTCCGATGTCAGATGTCTATGTCCGATGTCCGATGTTGGAAGTCCCTCCTCGGGTTTCGTAGTGATTCATTCAGTGTAAACCTTCATTTCCAACGACTGAAACACTCGTGATCCATGAGAGTACAGATTCTTTCGTCCTCTTGGGTAGCCAAGAGTTAAGTGGTCCTTGGTGCTGACCAAAAGGATCGCAGCCTCTGGGCACGAGATTGATATCAAGATAACTACTGAAAATGCGTGATTAACCCTATAAGTCCCTTTAAGTGACAAACATCAGTTTTCTCCTACTAATGTCATTACATAATCAATATAAAAGGTTATGAGAATTAAAAAAATGAACACCCAAATGAAAATGCTTTGATCTTTAAACAAATTCTTTCAACAACTGAGTTCTTCAAGGAAACATAGAGACCAGTATTCATGAGAATTTGAATGTTGATATTGCGGCTTTAAAAAGGTTAAGCTAGTTTCCGATATATGTACGTAACAGCTCAGACATGTTCACAAGGGACAACAATTAGGGTAGACTAAATTAATCTTGGCCAGGGAGACTTGGACATCATACAAATCGACTAATCCTCCCAAAGAGCATTATGTTCAACTTTTTTTATGTTTGGATTAATATCTCTGTCATCAGTCCCTGATATATTTTCTCAGCAAAATTTGTTCCAGTTACGTTTCGCTTGTGGGTTGCTTTTAAGTGAAATTTTTCGATATTCGCGATTCAAAACCGGTTATTAGATAGCTTCTCCTTTTCTCGGTTCTATGCCTCGGCCAGTAATTTCACTTCGTATTCGTTTTTACATTTCTTTGCTTCAACTCTGATTACTTTCTTGTATCTTTTTGTAATAGATAAATGTTTGAACTAGTTTAACCCTTATTTACCTTCGACCCACTTTTGGTACAAATGCTGGTTAGATAAGGTCGACTATTAACTGTTTTAACTAGTTTAACTTTCATTAATCTTGACCAGTACTTTTAATGGCACAAATGCATTGCGAGAACGAGTGAATTAACAAAAACAAATTATTAAAATGAAGGATAACAATGTTAAAAATGTTAAACGGTGGGAAACAGAGCAGGTGGCTATTCAAAGCGTGGTCGAGGAGTCGAACTCGGCCAACAACAGTGGAACAATTCTCTTTCTTTTGTGATGCGTGACGACTGCTTGGCATCATTAACATAAAGTACGCATGTATCCCAAGTGTTGCTAATAAACATCATAAAAACATGGCCGCCAAAGCAACGCATGTAAGCCATCTTGTGGAAAATATACTTACGTACTATACACAGAAGAAAACGACACAACGCAATATCTGAGTGGTGCTTTCAACGTGCCATGAAAGAACACAGGCGCTGGAATTGGTTTGGAATCGTGCGAGAGGCTCTCGAAGTAAGTCGAATCAGCTGAATATTTTCAGGTGCGGAGTTGGTGATGTAACGAACACATTTCCTATCTAGGTATCTGCTTGTGAAGGATGGGCTGTGGAAATGGCAAACATGTTTTCGCTACGACCATCGACCGAACACAGTTACGCGTATTGAGATGACAGGCCACCGTCAGCTCATCGCAAACGCCGAGGATTTGGACGAAGACTCGCTACTCGATTCGGAAATAGACCTTTCATCTTCGGAAAAGCTACAAGAATATACACATCAGTATCCAGAATTTTCAAGGGAGCTTAACGTGTTGTATTGTAGCATCGAAAAGCTTCGGCGATTATCGGAAAAAGAGACTGCTTTCAGTGATAAAGATTTGTTATCAAAGATAAACAAAGAAGTCCTCAAACTTCGCAAAAGAAGCATAAAAGCTGCTTTCTCACCCGGAACGTCTGAAGATCAAAAGTATAGCTTAATTGCAAATTTCATCTTGGACATAGAGGGAGCAGCTTTATTCTCCATGCTTGCTAAACAGTTGTTTGATTCGTACATCGAATGTGTAAAAATCCACCGTAGGAATGAGGTCCAATCGGGAAATCTATCGGTTATTGAAACAGACAGGATGGATCACCTAACGTCGGAAACCCTTATTCTTGTTCTGCTTGTGATACAAAACTTTGCGGAGTTTCATAAACAGTTTTGCGTAGCATGTGCAAAGACAACTGAGGTTGTTTCGCTTTGCCTGATGCAAAGTAGGCAAGTTGAAGATGTGTTCACGACCACGCAGGCTGAGGGGAGCGGAAGGCCAGTACGAGCTATTCGAATACTGGGATGTTGCTTCAACATTCTGTATAACTTGGCCAGAAAAACTGACTTGGTCAAAGCCAACGTAGACTTTGAAGGGAAAGAAACTTTAGTTTATTTCGCAAAATCCGATATCGCCATCGTTTCCCCTCTTGCTCTTCTCAGTTTGGCTTACGTCGTGGACGAGGAGAGCAATCATCTTATTCTTGCTGCTGAAGAAATTTTAGGAGCTTTAACGTCACTTTTGCAAAAGGCCTTTGAGTCTGAGCGTAGAAAATTTGATGGGTTCTCGGCAAAAGAACTCGCTGAAGGACTCAGTCGCCTCGCGATAAATGATACCAACAAAAGAGTTCTGGGCGAGAAGGGTGCCATACAAGTCCTAGTTTCTACAATCAAAACTTCAAACGACAATAGTGAGAAAGCTAGTGCAGTCAATGCGCTTTGGGTGTTAGCTTTCGACGAGAACAATAAGAAAGCCATCACTCAAGACAAAGAAACCTTAGATATTCTTCGAAGACTTCAGCAGAGTGACGACCCAGAAGTACAGAAAGCAGCTGCAGGTGCATTATGGGAGCTCGAAGGAAAGACGGCGAGGAACTCGGAGATGACAAAAGCAACCGGAAATCACGTGATGATCAGCTACCAGTGGGATTCCCAGGAAGTTCTGGTTGAAGTGAAAAACAGGCTTCAAGCAAGTGGATACAGAGTGTGGATGGATCTGGAGCAGATGGGAGGATCGACCTTAGAGGCAATGGCTAAAGCTGTTGAAAATGCTTCCGTTGTTCTTGTCTGTGTATCACACCAATACAAGGAGAGTCCGAACTGTCGTTCAGAGGCAGAGTACGCTTATCAGCTGAGAAAAGATATTATTCCTCTGATGATGCAACAAAACTATAAGCCGGACGGTTGGCTGGGAATGATCGTGGGGACAAAACTTTGGATCGACCTCAGAAACAGTTTTAATGTGGAGGCAGCAATTGGAAAACTCAAGAAAGAATTGGGCGACAGAGGACGAGAGAATCAAGGAAATTACCTCACTGTTGAGCACGAGAAACCCGTTGAAAAGGGGCAAGAACTTACCCCAGAATTGTCTGGGGTAGCGGACTGGACAGCAAACGAGGTAAAAGACTGGTTGAAGGACATTGGTTTAGACGACATTTGCAAGGCTGTCTTGCCAAAATTGAACGGACAGGCGTTAATTTATCTCTATGCACTCCGTGATGAATGTCCAGATTATTTTTACCGATGTCTAGAAACAAATCTTAACTTGCGGGACATGTTCGATTTGTTTAAATTTAGAGAAGAGCTTAGTAAGTTAATGAAAGGATGAAGTAGACGAAGCAATGTGGCATCGGAACTCGAACCGAGTTTCACATTCTGATTTTTGAAGACACGGTCTGCCATGAACTTTCAAAGGAGTATAAACCAGGAAAATACAAGGAATGACGTTGTAAACTGAAAAAAATGAATAAATAAACAGCCATTTAAGTTTTCCACAGATTTTGGTCGTCAGTTCTCCGGATTTCAAATAAGCTTTACCATTTTTCTCTCTTAACTTTACTCCATTAGCAATAGTTGCCTTAGTACCTAATTCGCGGCTTCTCCGCTCGTGCGCCTCGGCTCGCCAAAACTGCCATGCTACGTAGGCTATACCAATCTTCAGCGGACAACTCGCCCCAAGACAGTCTTAGATTCTGGATTCAACGCTGTGGATTCCGGATTCTTTGCCAGAGGAACTTGGATTCCGGATTCCACCAGCTAAAATGTCTCTTATTCCGAAATCCGGATTCCCTTACCTGGGGCGAGACAACTCAGTACTGAAGTCAGCATTGCGATCAAGGATGACTGACAGAAGTAGTCTGAGAAGAGCAGCCGTGTCAGCTCCTCGCTCCTCGCCAGTATATTAGGGACGGGCAAAACGATGCTAGCGACGAGGAACGAGGGGAGACGGCTGTTTTCGCAGGCTGTGACAGAAGGCATATGAAATGTCAGCAAGTCCACCGCAACAAACCAATCAGTGGTGCCGGGTTGTTCAAAGCTGGGTTAAGATAACTCAGTGTTAGTTCGAAATTTGAATTCAGATATGAAAGCTTTAAAAGCAAATTCAGTTTAATTCTTTTTGTCAACAATTTGATGATTGGCTACTAGAAAAAGAATAGAGAAAATTGTCCGAGGAAATACTTTTGATGAAAGGAAAAAGGGACCCGGGTTAA